CTTGTGGTGGTAATCAAAACACCTGGTTAATTGTGTGCCTATATAAGACCTTCAAATCCTTAGCTGGGGGCTCTCCTCCTAGGCTCCGCTGTGTCGGACTATAGGACAAGGCCTGAGCTGCAGCCCGTTTAAATAAAACAGCTGTAGAGACTGACTCTCGGTGGTCTTCTTGGAAGGGGTCCTGTGACCTTGGCATAACACCTTCAGCAGACATGAACTCAGAGACAAGGTCTTCCAAGGTGGCAGGCTCCTGATGATGGCGGGTATATTTGCAATAAGCAAGACAATGTGATGCACGTGAAGCTCCTGGAGATGCTGCGGCTGCCCTAGATGCTCCCCGATCATCCAGGAATACCAGAACTCCTTGGGAGGGTGAGGGTTGAAGTCGCCACCTGTGTTGGGACAGTTGAGGATGTGAAGTTTCTTCATTCCACCCAAGTAAGGAGCAATTTCTTTCCTAATTCCTGGATGCCAGAATTCACTCACTACCAGTTCCTGGATGGAGTCCAGCCTCACCACAAGCATAGCCTTATGGATTTCAGAGATGGAGTCAGACAGAATCTGCAGCTTCCTGGAGCACAGCTGGACTGATTCTCTCCTCTCCCTGGCCTAGTGGAGCAGGTGGGCTTGGAGAGCATCGTGGGTGCCATCTTTGATGAGCAAATCCATCATTATCACCAAGGGTTTCTCTGCAGTCTTTGCTGAGCAGTGATTTTCAGTTTGACTGTCAGTCAGAACATCTGGAGAAGCGATTCGGGCATGGAGGCGTACCCCAAGTCCATATTTCCACAGATTGATAACTTGTAGTTTACATCGACTGGGGGCTCCTTCTTGGCAAGTAGCAGGCCGAGCCCATCCAGGACAGCCTTGAAGGTCTCCAGGTCAGGAGACTCTGCCAGATCCCTCAGGGGGAGGCAGGGGAAGGGCCAGGCCTGCTCCAGGTCCTTCAGCACCTCTGTGTGGCCCTGGGCATAGATCTCTATGAACAGTGAAGGGAACAGCAGCAGAGGAAGATTTTCCACAGCAAAGATGGCCAGGGTCTGGTTGCTCAGCAGACTCTGCATGGCCAGATGCTGGAGCGAGGGTGGGGCTCCAATGCTCATCTTGATGGACCAGATATGGGCCAGGTGTGCAGGGCTCTCTGAATCACAGCAGGCCCAGGCACTCACTGTGCAATCCAGAATTCTTCTGTTCTCTGATCCCTGGATATCCTTCACACCCAACCCCAGCCTCACCATTGCATACCTGCCAATGAGAGAGCAGCTTCTGATGGGATTTCTGAGACACACCCAGCACACCTTAGTTGACTTTTGCACTTGAGATTAATTCAAATATTGGTTTTAACCAAAAAGGGATAGGTTTAAAGGCCTGTCCCACAAAGCCCAGCTTCTCTCTGTATTGTAAATCACACTTTATCAAAATGAGCTCCACTTTTACTCCTTAATCCCTCCAGACATTCCCACAGATGTTCCACTGCTAAGCATGCAAGGAGAGAAGTCATCCGAATTGATAACATCCACAAAGCCTGCAGGAAATCTTTTCTCTGGAGTTCTTTCCCTCTCTGAATCCCTTCCTATTCTTCTTCATCCTTCCTTCCTTCCCTCCCTCCCTCCCTCTCTGCCTATATCCCTCCCTCCCTTTCTTTCTTGCAAGTTTCTTTTTAATGCCCATTCTAGACCTCGGGTAAGGGTTTATTTGTTTGTGTATTTGTGTCAGTTCTTGCATCTAGGTGCTATCTCTGAGCTTTGGTTCACAATGCCAGCACTCTACTACTTGAGCCACAGCTCCACTTCTGGCCACTTTTGAAGGTTCACTAGAGATAAGAGTCTCAAAGATATCTGTGCCCAGACTGCCTATGTATGGAAACGCTCAGATCTCTGACTTGCAGAGTAGTTAAGGTTCCAGCTATGCACACTCCTCATTCTTTAGTGCTGAGAAATGATATCTTTCTACTCATGCTTTTTCATTTTTTTTTTATTTTTGATCGATACAGAAAATTATAGATGATAAGGCCAGAAGTGGAGCAGAGATGTACCAGGTGTGCAGGACTCTGAATCCCAGCCAGGCACTCAAGGCAGACTCCAGGCCTCTGCTCTTTTCTGGCCCTTTGGAATCTTTATACCACAGTCCCATCCTCCCCTCTGTGTATCTACCAATGGGAGAGCAGATTCTGATAGGATTTCTGAGTAACACCCACCACACCCTAGCTGGGTCTAACCATCTAGATTAATTGAAACAGAGATTCTACCCAGACTGATAGGATTAAAGGCAGGACTCACTGGGCCCAGCTTCCATTTCAAATGTGTAACACACACACACACACACACACACACACACACACACACACATATTTCCTGCCCTAATTTGTTAACCCTTTGAGAAATTTCCACAGATATTTCACTGCCTTGAGACTGCAAATGTTCCAAGAACATCAGCCAGCCCAATCTGATAGCATCCACAAACACTTCTCTAGAAAATTCTTTCTCGCCGGGCGCTGGTGGCTCACGCCTGTAATCCTAGCTACTCAGGAGGCTGAGATCTGAGGATCGCGGTTCAAAGCCAGCCCCGGCAGGAAAGACCATGAGACTCCTATCTCCAATAAACCACTAGAAAACCGGAAGTGGCGCTGTAGCTTTATTGGTAGAGCGCTCGCCTTGAGCTGAAGAGCTGAGGGACAGCGCCGAGGCCCAGAGTTCAAGCCCCACGACCGACAAAAAAAAAAAAAAAAGAAAATTCTTTCTCTTCCTTCCCTCCTGTCCTCCTTTGCTTAAGTTGCCCCTCCCTCTTTCCCTCCTGCCCTTTCTCTGTTCCTCTCTTTCTCTCCCACTTTCTTGCTCTTGCTCTTTTTCTCTCACCCTCTCTTTCTTTGTTCTTTTTCTATCGTTTTTCTGCTCTCTCTCACCTTCTCTCTCACCCTCCATCCCTCGCCCCCCTCTCTCCTTTATGCAGGTACTCAGGACTTCCTGTTTTGACTCGGCTTTTTCCCTCAAGGCTGATGGCCGAGCACTCAAGCCACAGCTCCACTTCTGATTTGTTGTAGGCTTACTTGAGACAAGAGTCCCTTGGACTCATCTGCCTCGCTGGATTTGAACCATGAACCTCAGAGCTCAGCCTCCTCTTTGCCTGGGATTACAGGAGTGATACACTAGGCGCCAGCAGCTAAGTTTCTTTTGTAGGACAGGACAGAGGCCCTCTCTCTTTCTAAGGTCTCAACCTGTTGTGTTCAGTACATGCTGGGCCCTGCTGTTCAGCATCTGATTTTTGAAGATTAGAAAGGGCATTTGACTGCTCTTTGTAAGTATCGTCCACATAGCAGGACACACATATTCAGTAATTCAGTTATTTTATTTATTCATTCAAAAAATGCTTTCAGTCTCTAAGAAGGCAAGATTATTTCTTCTTTTCATGCTTTCTGGTTTTCTCTTCTTTGTTCTTTCAGTGTGTGTGTGTGTGTTTGTTTGTGCATGTGTGTGTGTGTGTGTGTGTGTGTGCTTCAAAGTGGAATTTGAACTCACAGTCTGGCACTGTCTGTCCCCCAGCGCTTTCCATTCAAAGCTGGCAATCTACCACATGACCCACAGATTCCACTTCCAGCTTTTGGTTGCTAATTGGAGATAAGAGTCTAAGAGGCTCTTGTCCAGATTGAAGGTGAACTGTTATCCTCAAATTGTGATCTCCGGACTAGTTATAAGTACAAGTGTGAGCCACCAGCCTGAGCCTGAGGGGTGACTTATTCTCTTTTGGTTGTTGTTACTGGTCCTGACTTTGAATGCAGAGTTCTTTTGCTCAAGGCCAGTACTCTACCACATTGACCCACAGCTCCATTTCTGGTTTTCTGGTGGTTCACTAGAGATAAGAGTTTCGTGGACTTTCCTGACCAGGCTGTCTTTGAACTGTGATTCTCAGATTTCTAAGTGGTTCAGGAGCTAGAATTCTGGGCAGAAGCAGTACTCTGATTTTTGGATTCTGAGAAATGACATCCTTCTGCTTACTGTTCTCTTTTCCTTGGAAATGTATTAATTGATGTGTAGACATAGAAAACTGTACACAGTCAGAGGTTTGCTTACAACGATTGAGAAAGAGAAGATTGTATTTGAGTTCTTTCTAGACAGAATTCATTCGAGATTTCTGATGGTGGGTGCACAGGACACATGTACCCCGAAAGTACCCAGAAACGCCTGGGCTCCAGAGCTACAATAGACCTGAAAATCTCAGGATCATAAGGTAAAGATGGATTCGGGAATCCTTACCCAAAAGACCACGAGAGACCATCACCAATGTAAAAGCAAAAGAGTCTTTATTGCAAACTGAAGCTTGGTCTCCCTATTCCCCTCCCCCTCTCAACCCCTCTCCTCCCTACCGCTGTGTACAAGTCAGCAGCCTACAATGCTGAGAAGCCCCAAGCCATGCGTTACAGCAGCTGTTGTACACTTTTTAGGGAAGGCAGGGGCTTTACATACATCATAGCATCTGGGAACAAATCACTACACACCCTGGGAAAATCATAAAAACAACTCCATAGTATGATTAGCGCACTACACAGAGAGAAAGGACCAGAAACAGGTTGTTGGTTAGATCCAGGGGGCTGACGTAATTTGCACTGGTCGGCTTGCACAAGGGAGTCTTCAAGAGGATGCATGCTAAACTGCAAGGTGTCCAGTTCAGAGAATATTGACCAGACCCCAGGAAGGGGTATTCTGGAATTTCAGATACCTTGACATCCTGGCATCTCTGGTTCCCAGGATTGTCTGTGCAAGGCTATTTCAGATACTTCGACATCCTGGCATCCAGGGTTCCCAGGACTGTCTGTGGCTGGCATGGGTCAAGGGCTAAGTTGCAGAACTGAGCTGGGGTCTTAAGTAAAAAGGGAGTTGTTCAGGTTGCTCAATAAGCCTGTCTCTTCCACCCACGCTGAACATTTGGGTCTGTGGCCCTGGAGAATGCTCTTCCTGGCTTTCATTTCTGATGGTAGAAAGCAATTCTAGGAGAGAGGTACACAACTACAAAGAGAGAGTAGAAAGGCCAGAAAGATGCTCTTCTGTGAGCAGCCAGGAGCCATTTGGCTCCAGGGTATAGAATCGGTACTTGTTCAGGTAATGACTGAATTTGGTACAGATCTGGACTTTGTGGCTTGCTCCCATGTCCTTCAAAGTCTGTGCCAAGACAGCAAGAACCTGGGCAAATCTCTCTGGGTGGATGTCCCATGGCCACTGATTTTGAGGGTAGTAGCTCTCCAGAGGGGCAGGATAGAGCCCTCGTCTCAAATGGCCCATCTGGGCCATGTGGCTCAGGAGGATCTCCAGGGCGGCCATGGAGATGTGGTTTCCATAGAAGCTGAAGAACCTGAGCTGGGAACACTGGCTCAGGGCGGGCAGCATGGGCGAGAGCTGGACATCCGTGAAGGCTAAGTCCTCCAGGGCCAGGGTCTCCAGGGTGCCGGCCACTCCATGCAGCAGGTCTAGCAGGGTCTCAAGACTGAAGCAGACCGTGGACAGCTCCTCAGACGCAGGTGCTTGAGCTGCTTGGTGCAGGGACACTGGAACAGGAACCTCAGGTGAGCTTCGCTCAGCAGACATGAACTCAGAGACAAGGTCTTTAAGGACTTCAGCGTTCTGAGGATGGAGGGCAGCTGTTCATAGTGGAAGCAGACATCGTGTACATAAAGCTCCTGCAGATGCTGTAGCTGCCCCAGCTGTGCCCCAAATTTGCAGGAACACCAGCCATTCCTGGAGCTGGAAGTGAAGAAGCTGCCACACATCTTGGAGAAGTTGAGGATGTGAAGGTTCTTCATGTGGCCCAGGTAAGGGGCAAATGTTTTCAGAAGTTCTTGACATGGGAATTTACTCACCACCAGCTCCTGGATGGAGTCCAGTCTCACCACACGCAGAGCCTTCTGGATTTTATAGATGGAGCCAGACAGAATCCGCAGCTTCCTGGAGCACAGCTGGACTTGTTCTTGCCTCTCCCTGGCCCACTGGAGCAGGTGGCCTTGGAGAGCATCCTGGGCGCCATCTTTGATGGTCAAGTCCATGAGTAAAATCAAGGGCTGCTCTTCAGTCATCATTGAACCACAGCTCTCTGTTGGCCTGTCAGTCAGGACATCTGGATAAGAGATTTGGGCCATTGAAGGGTAGCCCTGTATCCAGAAGTTGGGGTGGTCATTCCGCAGGTCGAGGACTTGCAGTTTCCACCGACTGGGGCGCTCCCTCTTGGCCAGTAGCAGATCGAGCCCATCCAGGACAGCCTTGAAGGTTTCCAGGTCCGGAGACTCTTCCAGGTCCCCCAGGGGGAGGCAGGAGAAGGGCCAGGCCTGCACCAGGGCCTTCAGCATCTCTGTGTGGGCCCTGGCATAGACCTCCACGAACAGCGAAGGGAACAGCAACACCGGTAGATCCTCCAGGGCAGAGATGGCCAGAGCCTGGTTGCTCAGCAGGCTCTGCATGGCCAGATACTGGAGTGAGGGTAGGGTTCCGCGGCTCATCTTCACAGCCAGAAGTGGAACAGATGTGTACCAGGTGTGCAGGACTCTCTGAATCCCAGCAGGGCCAGGCACTCAAGGCAGACTCCAGGCTTCTGCTCTTTTCTGGCCCTTTGACATTTTTATACCCAGCCCCACCCTCACCTCTGTGTCTCTACCAATGGGAGAGCAGATTCTGATGGGATTTCTGAGTAACACCCACCACACCTTGGCTGGGTCTAACCATCTAGATTAATTTAAACAGAGATTCTACCCAGACTGATAGGATTATCGGCAGGACCCCCTGAGCCCAGCTTCCATTTCAAATGTGTAACACACACACACACACACACACACACACACACACACACACACACACATTTTCGACCTTTTTTTGTTAACCCTTTGAGAAATTTCCACAGGTATTTCACTGCCTTGAGCCTGTAAATGTTCCAAGAACATCAGCCAGCCCAATCTTATTGCATCCACAAACACTTCTCTAGAAAATTCTTTCTCTTCCTTCCTTCCTATCTTTCTTTGCTTACATTGCCCCTCCCTAGTTCCCTCCTGCCCTTTCTCTCTTTTCTCTCCCTCTTTCTTGCTCTTGCTTTTTCTCTCATCCTCTCTCTCTTTTTTCTTTCTCTATCCCTTTTTGTGCTCTCTCTCACCTTCTCTCTCGCACTCTCTCCCTATCCCCTCCCCCTCTCCTTGTATGAAGGTACTCAGGGCCTCCTGTTTTGACTTGGCTTTTTCCCTCAAGGCAAATGGCCTACCACTCAAGCCACAGCTCCACTTCTGATTTGTTGTAGGCTTACTTGAGGCAAGAGTCCCTTGGACTCATCTGCCTTGCTGGCTTTGAACCATGAACCTCAGACCTCAGCCTCCTGATTGTCTAGGATTACAATAGTGATACACTAGGGATCAGCAGCTAAGTTTCTTTTGTAGGTCAGGACAAAGAGGCCCTCTGTCTTTCTAAGGTCTTAACCTGTTGTGTTCAGTATATTCGAGGGCCCAGCTGATATAACCGGCCCAGCTGTTCAACATCTGATTTTGAAGATAAGAAAGGGCATTTGACTGCTCTTTGTAAGTAACGTCCACATAGCAGGACACACATATTCAGTAATTCAGTTATTTTATTTATTCATTCAAAAAATGCTTTCAGTGTCTAAGAAGGCAAGATTATTTCTTCTTTGAATGCTTTCTGTTTTTCTCTTGTTCTTTCAGTGTGTGTGTGTGTGTGTGTGTGTGTGTGTGTGTGTGTGTGTGTGTGTGTGTGCTTCAAAGGGGGATTTGAACTCACAGTCTGGCACTGTCTGTCCCCCAGCGCTTTCCATTCAAAGCTGGCAATCTACCACATGACCCACAGATTCCACTTACAGCTTTTGGTGGCTAATTGGAGATAAGAGTCTAAGAGGCTCTTGCCCAGATTGAAGGTAAACTGTGATGCTCAGATTGTGATCTCCAGACTAGTTATAATTACAGGTGTGAGCCACCAGCCTGAGCCTGAAGGGTGACTTATACTCTTTGGGTTGTTGTTACTGGTCCTGACTTTGAATGCAGAGTTCTTTTGCTCAAGGCCAGTACTCTACCACATTGACCCACAGCTCCACTTCTGGTTTTCTGGTGGTTCACTAGAGATGAGAGTCTCATGGACTTTCCTGAGAAGGCTGTCTTTGAACTGTGATTCTCATATTTCTAAATGGTTCAGGAGCTAGAATTCTAGGCAGAAGCAGTACTCTGATTTTTGGATTCTGAGAAATGACATCCTTCTGCTTACTGTTTTCTTTTCTTTGGAAATGAATTAATTGATGGGTAGACATAGAAAACTGTACACAGTCAGAGGTTTGCTTACAACGATTGAGAAAGAGAAGATTGTATTTGAGTTCTTTCTAGGCAGAATTTATTTGAGATTTCTGATGGTGGGTGCACAGGACACATGTACCCCAAAAGTACCCAGAAACACCTGGGCTCCAGAGCTACAATTGACCTGAAATTCTCAGGATCATAAGGTAAAGCTGGATTCGGGAATCCTTACCCAAAAGACCACGAGAGACCATCACCAATGTAAAAGCAAAGGAGTCTTTATTGCAAACTGAAGCTTGGTCTCCCTATTCCCCTCCCCCTCTCAACCCCTCTCCTCCCTCCCGCTGTGTACAAGTCAGCAGCCTACAATGCTGAGAGGCCCCAAGCCATGCGTTACAGCAGCTGTTGTACACTTTTTAGGGAAGGCAGGGGCTTTGCATACATCATAGCATCTGGGAACAAATCACTACACACCCTGGGAAAATCATAAAAACAACTCCATAGTATGATTGGCGCACTACACAGAGAGAAAGGACCAGAAACAGGTTGTTGGTTAGATCCAGGGGGCTGACGTAATTTGCACTGGTCGGCTTGCACAGGGCAGTCTTCAAGAGGATGCGTGCTAAACTGCAAGGTGTCCAGTTCAGAGAATGGTCATCAGATCCCAGGAAGGGCTGTTCTGGAATTTCAGATACCTTGACATCCTGGCATCTCTGGTTCCCAGGATTGTCTGTGCAAGGCTATTTCAGATACTTCGACATCCTGGCATCCAGGGATCCCAGGACTGTCTGTGGCTGGCATAGGTCAAGGGCTAAGTTGCAGAACTGAGCTGGGGTCTTAAGTAAAAAGGGAGTTGCTCAGGTTGCTCAATGAGCCCTGTCTCTTCCACCCACACTGAACATTTGGGTCTGTGGCCCTTGAGAATGCTCTTATGTCCTGGCTTTTATTCTGATGCTGAGAAGAGATTCCAGAAGAGAGGAGCCCGACTACACAGACAGAGCAGAAAGGCTGGGAAGCCCCTCCTCTGTGAGCACCCAAGAACCATCCGGGCCCAGGCTGTAGAACTGGCACTTGTTCTGGTGATGGCAGAAATCAGTACAGATTTGGACCCTCTGGGTTGGCCCCAGGTCTCTCAATACCTGCTCCAAACTTGCCAGAACCAGGGCAAGTCTCTCAGGGTCGATGTTTCCTAGCCCCCACTCCTGAGGGCGGTAGCTCTCCAGAGGGGCAGGATAGAGGCCTCGGCTTAAGTGGCCCAACCTGGCCGTGTGGCTCAGGAGGTTGTACAGGGCAGCCATGGAGATGTGGTTCCCATCAACACTGAAGAAGCGGAGCTGGGAGCACTGGCTCAGGCCCGGCAGGATGGCCGAGAGATGGGCATCCGTGAAGGCACAGTCCTCCAGGGCCAGGGTCTCCAGGGTGCTGGCTGTGTGCTCCAGCAGGTCTCGCAGGGACTCAGGACTAGAGTTATCCATGAACAAACTGGTCAGACGCAGGTGCTGGAGCTGCCTGGTGCAGGGAGCCTGGGACAGACACCTCAGGTCGGCCTCCTGCAGTGCACAGGCACTCAGAGACAAGGCCTTCAAAGACCTCAGGCTCTTGAATACGGCGGGCAGCCTTCCATAAAGGAAGAGGACTTCATGCATATGAAGCTCCCGGAGATGCTGCAGCTGGCCCAGATGGGCCCCGATTTTCCAGGAATACCAAGAGTTCTTTTGGCTGGCAGTGTAGAAGTCGGCATACATCTTGGAGAGCTTCAGGAGGTGAAGGTTCTTCATCTGGCTGAGGTAAGGGGCAAAGATCTTCATGGTCTCTGGATTCCAGAATTCACTCACATGCAGAGCCTTCTGGATTTCAGAGATGGAGTCAGACCAAATCTGCAGCTTGCTGGAGCACAGCTGAACTCCTTCTCTCCTCTCCCTGGCCCAGTGGAGCAGGTGGGCTTGGGGAGCATCCTGGGTGCCATCTTTGATGGTCAGATCCATGGTGATCATCAAGGGCTGCTCTTCAGTCATCCTTGAGCAGTGGCTTTCTGTTGGCTTGTCAGTCAGGATGTCTGGATAAGAGATACGGGCCATCGAAGGGTACCCCCATGTCGAGATGTTGGGGTACTCCTTCCGCAGACTGAGCACTTGCAGTTTCCACCGACTGGGAGGAAGAAAGGGAGGGAGGCAAAGAAGGGAGGGACAGAAGGAAGGAGGGAGGGAGAGTGGGAGGGAGGGAGGGAGGGAGGGAGGGAGGGAGGGAGGGAGGGAGGGAGGGAGGGACAAAGAAAGAATATTGACTTACACAGGACTTTGGTGGTTCACACATTTAATTCTCCTAGTCATGAAGACTAGATGTCAGGGTGGCAGTTCAAAGCCAGTCTGACCAGAAAGTCGTTGAGAAGCTTTCTGTTAACCTTTAAATTTAATTGTGAAGGTGATATACAGAAGGATTACAATTTGAGTACATTTCCTTTAAAACGGTGTCCTTCATTCCTTCCACTTTTTCTCCTTCCCACTGACCTCCCCTCCAAGGTGTAAAGTTCATTTCCCACCATTTCCATGCTTCCCCATCCTCTCCCAAATGAGATAAATGTGCATACAAGACAAAGGCACAGAAATAAAAAACAATGAAAAGAGGCAATAAAGAAAAGAAAAATGAAATAAAAAGAACTGAAAGTGCAATAAAATCGGGCTAGCTTCCATTTCTTAGAGTTCATTTTGATTAGCATCATTTTATATGATCCCATCATGCAAATTGAACCCTTGTGATCCTTTTCTAAGCATATCCTCCTTTCATCTCCCTGTGTGAGTATTTACAAGGCTGTTTGATTAATCATGTCCAAGTCTTTTACTATCCTTTGGATTTACCATAGATTTATAGGCACATTTGAATGATAACAAATGAGGGAAACCATGCATTCTGTTTCTATGGGTCTGGCTTACTTTACTTAGTGTAATTTTCTCAAAGTCTTCCATTTCCACATGAGTAGGGAAATAACATTCCTACTGATGGAAGCATGAATTCCATGGGATATACATACCACATTTTCCTCATACATTTATCCACTAAGGAGCAACTGGGTTGATTCCATATCTTAGCTATGGTATCAATGCCGCAGAGACCAGGGTTGTGCTGTTTTAATGTGGCCTGGTTTGGGCCATTTGCATAAGAATGAAGTTTTATGGATGGTTAGTTGGGGAACCTCCATACTGCCTTCCTTAGTAGTTACACAAGTCTAAATTCCCCACCAACAATTGTAGTATTGTTCCCTTTTGGCCATATCCTCAATATCATCTGTTATTGTTAGGGATTTTTGGATTTTTTTTTGTTTTTTGATAATAGCCATTCTAATTGGGATGAGGTGGAATCTCAAATTTGATTTGATTTGTATTTCTTTTATGACTAGGGATGTGGAACACCTCTTCATGTGTCTATGGGCCATTCATGTTTCTTTTTCATAGAAATTGCTCTTTAAATCTCTAGCTGGCTAGTCGTTTCTTTGAGGTTTTGTTTTTGGTAGGTTTAATTTGTTTAGCTGTACTTACATTTTAGATAGGAGGCACTTGTCAGATGAAATGCAAGTAAAGATTTTATCCCATTCTGTGGGCTATTTGTCTTGCTACTGTGTCCTTTGCCGTGCAGAAGCTCTTCAGTTTTTTCAGTTCCAGTCATCTAGTTATTATTTAACTTGTGGTGATTCTGGATCTTTATTTAGGAAGTTTTGGCCTATGCCAAGGAGCCTTCCTGCTTCCCCTATCCCTTCCAGTAAGATTTCCAGGGGGTCTGGTGTTCCATTGACGTCTTTGATCTAATGGGAACTGACTCTTGTGCGATGTGTTATGGAAGGATCTAACTTCAGTTTTCTGCATGTGGATAACCAATACTGCTAGCACTATTTGTGGCACAGGCTGTCTTTCTTCCATCCTGTGTTTCAACTTCCATTCTGATCTTTTCAATGAACCACTTCTTGTGCAACAATATATTATTCAGTCTCCATGAGTTATAGAGATTTTATGATGACTGGTTGGTGTGTGAGTGTGTTTGTGTGTGTGTGTGTGTGTTTGGTCAATCATGGGGGGCTGAACTCTGGGCCTGGGCGCTGTCTCTCATGTCTTCAGCTCAAGGCTAGCACCCTACCACTTGAGCCACAGAGCTACTTATGGCTTTTTTCTGCTTATCTGGTGCTGAGGAACAGAACCCAGGGCCTCATGCATGCAAGGTAAGTAAGTGCTCTACCACTGAGCCACCTTCCCAGCCCATGATGACTGTTTATATTGAACTATAATAATACAGCATGTGGTCTGACAGAATGCTAGGAATAATTTTAATATTTCAGAACTTGTGTAGACTTTCTGCACAGACTTACATATTATTTGTTTTGGAAAATATTCCATGTGCTTCTCAGAAAAATATGTATTCTGATGATGCCTGATCAAATATTATGTAGATGTCTGTGAAGTCTAGTCAGTCAATGCAGATATTTAGAGGATTTAGTTCTGAGCTTTTTCTGTTACACTTTATGGGTTCATTTATTCAGTGCAACAGTGGTGTGTTAAAATCACCAACAATTACTATTTTTGATTCTATGGGTTTTTTTAGGTCCTGTAGTTTTAGTTTGATGAAGTTGAGTGTTCTGGTATTGGTGAATAGATATTTAGAATTGTTAGAAACTTCTAGAAGAGATCCCTTTATTAGTTTGTATGCCCTTTGTCTCTTCTAATTTTAAATTGAAATCTATTTTTTCTGATATTATTATTGCTACTCCAACCTGTTTATGGGAGCAATTTTCTTGAAAAGATTTATTCAAAATGCAAACATTCAAAATGTTTGTTTTTCTTGGCACGATGTGTCTTGCACATGGATAGATCTTGCTCTTTTATGCTACTAGTAAATCTATGTCATTGAATTAAAGAGTTAAGTCTGTTAACATTGAGAGTGAGGACTGAGAAGTGTTTGGTAATCCTGCCATGTTATCCACCTTTTTAGGGATTCTGCCTTGACATTTCTCACTGTATTTCTCTGGTTTTCTGATAAACAGCCATATCTCTGCCATGACTTAGATTCCTATCTTCAATAAACTCCACAGAAAAAAGAGGAAAGTACTGTTGTGATTCAAATGTTGGAGCAAAAGCATTGAGGAAAAGAAGCTCAAGGACACTGGCCATGCCCTCAATTCAAGTTGTGAGATGAACAATAAAAAAAAGACAGGAAGGAAGGAAGGAAGGAAGGAAGGAAGGAAGGAAGGAAGGAAGGAAGGAAGGAAGGAAGGGAAGGAGGGAAATAATTTTCTAGAGAAGTGTTTGTGGATGCTATAAGATTGGGCTGGCTGATGTTCTTGGAATATTTACAGGCTCAAGGCAGTGAAATATCTGTGGAAATTTCTCAAAGGGTTAACAAATAAGGGCCGAAGTGTGGTAGTGTGTGTGTGTGTGTGTGTGTGTGTGTGTGTGTGTCTGTGTTACACATTTGAAATGGAACCTGGGCCCAGTGGGTCTTGCCTATAATCCTATCAGTCTGGGTAGAATCTCTGTTTCAATTAAGCTAGATGCTTAGACCAAGCCAGGGTGTGGTGGGTGTTACTCAGATATCCCATCAGAATCTGCTCTCCCATTGGTAGATACTTAGAGGGGAGGGTGGGACTGGGGTATAAAGATGTCAAAGAGCAAGAAAAGAGCAGAGTCCTGGAGTCTGCCTTGAGTGCCTGGCCCTGCTGGGATTCAGAGAGTCCTGCACACCTGGTCCACATCTGCTCCACTTCTGGCTGTGAAGATGAGCCGCAGGACCCCACCCTCGCTCCAGTATCAGGCCATGCAGAGCCTGCTGAGCAACCAGGCTCTGGCCATCTCTGCCCTGGAGGATCTACCGGTGTTGCTGTTCCCTTCACTGTTCATGGAGGTCTATGCCAGGGCCCACACAGAGATGCTGAAGGCCCTGGTGCAGGCCTGGCCCTTCTCCTGCCTCCCCCTGGGGGACCTGGAAGTGTCTCCAAACCTGGAAACCTTGAACGCTGTCCTGGAACGGCTCACTCTGCTACTGGCCAAGAAAGAGCACCCCAGTCGGTGGAAACTGCAATTTCTCGACCTGCAGAATGACCACCCCAACATCTGGATAGAGGGCTACCCTTCAATGGCCCAAATCTCTTATCCAGATGTCCTGACTGACAGGCCAACAGAGAACTGTGGTTCAATGATGACTGAAGAGCAGCCCTTGATTTTACTCATGGACCTGACCATCAAACATGGCACCCAGGATGCTCTCCAAGGCCACCTGCTCCAGTGGGTCAGGGAGAGGCGAGAACGAGTCCAGCTGTGCTCCAGGAACCTGCTGATTCTGTCTGACTCCATCTCTGAAATCCAGAAGGCTCTGCGTGTGGTGAGGCTGGACTCCATCCAGGAGCTAAAGGTGAATAAATTCTGGCATCGAGAAACCATGAAAAATATTGTCCCTTACCTAAGTCAGATGAAGAACCTTCGCATCCTCCAATTCTCCAGGATGAGAGTGAACGTCACTTGCAGACACAAGAATTTCTCATATTCCTGCAAATATGCTGTACATCTGGGACAGCTGCAGCATCTGCAGGAGCTGTATGTGCACAAAGTCTTCTTCCTTTATGGACAGCTGCCCACCATCCTCAGGAACCTCACCCTTTTGAAGACCTTGTCTCTGAGTTCGTGTCCACTGAAGGAGGCTGACTTGTGGTTCCTGTCCCAGTGGCCCTGCTCCAGGCAGCTCAAGCACCTGCGTCTGAGGAGTTTGCCCCTGGACAACTTCAGTCCTGAGCCCCTGAGAGTCCTACTGAAGCACGCGGCTTGCACCCTGGAGACCCTGGCCCTGGAGGACTGTGCCATCACGGATCCCCAGCTCTTGGGCATCCTGCCCGCCCTGAGCCTGTGCTCCCAGCTCAGCTTCTTCAGTTTCTATGGAAACCACATCTCCATTTCTGTCCTGCAGAGCCTCCTGAGCCACATGGCCAGGTTGGACTGTTTGAGACAAGGGATCTATCCTGCCCCTCTGGAGTGCTACCCCCGTCATGAACGGTGGGTAGGGGACTTTGAACCTGAGAGATTTGCCCAGGTTCAGGCTCAGTTGG